GAGGCCTACGCCTTCCCGGCTGCTGGGCGCGTTCTGTGATCACACCCGGGGCTGAGCAGCTCTGTCGTGGTCCTGGAGTGCCCCATGAGGAAGGGAGTCGGCAGGCTGCTACCCGTTCTGCATGCCTGACCCAGCGCGGTGCACGAGGAGGAGAGGGAGTGTCTTTCGGATGAGACTCCACTCAAAGGCCTGGAAGCTTGCGTTCATACGCCTTCCCGGCTGCTGGGCGCGTTCTGTGATCACACCCGGGGCTGAGCAGCTCTGTCGTGGTCCTGGAGTGCCCCATGAGGAAGGGAGTCGGCAGGCTGCTACCCGTTCTGCATGCCTGACCCAGCGCGGTGCACGAGGAGGAGAGGGAGTGTCTTTCGGATGAGACTCCACTCAAAGGCCTGGAAGCTTGCGTTCATTAAGGCAGTTCCTGTGCTCCCTGACGCCCTTACATTTCTCCTGCAGTTTCACCTGGGGAGACTGTTTGAAACAACCGTGTTTCACTGCCAGGACAGAATGGCTGCCATGTTCCCCGGAGATGGCTGCTTTCCACATGCAGGTATATGATGTCTTACTGCAATTCAGGATGTGAAGCACTTAGATCCTTCAGGATGAGAGATGCTACAGAAACCCAGGGAAATTATTTTTATTATACTGGAAATGAAACTAGACGAGGGCCAAGAAACACACTGTTTCTTAGTTCTCTCTCTTACTTTTGTGGGGTTATTTTCAATAGGCTTACATACACACTGGGTGTGTGGCCAGTCAATTCTTGACTGGACTGCCACCGATTTTGTCTTTTTACTGTGGAGCGGAAGTCTCTGAACCTGCTAATATATTATGTGCCTGAACTTTTATGGGGTATTTTCTTCCCAGACACATCTGCATTAATACCCAATGTATCATTCTGTATTTTAATGCAGGCTGTCCTTGCTAGAAGTCCAGGATACGTTCCAAAAAACTTGGACTTATAGTGAAACAACTTAAAGCGGGGAATTTTTATCTCACGGCTGACTTCCACTTGCCCAAACATTTTTGTGTGTGTGCGCACAACTTAAGAGCGGGGAATGGGAGGACTTATAACGCATCAGTTCCTGCAAGTGTCAACGACTTTAGTGCGGAACGGATGTATACCAGGGTGACATACAGCAGGGACGTCCTGTACTCATTTATGTTGGTTTTGGACTTGAAAATAGTTTTTAAAATGAAATAAAGGGGGGAAAATTAGCCAAGTGCTTCCAAAGCTGACCTAGAGGCTCTGTTATTGTCACTATGGCTTCTGCAGGGGAGCTGGGCTTTATGGCGACTCTGTGGGCCACAAGATGGGCAGAGCCCTGTGCAGATACAAAATTTGCATCTACATCCATATCTGCAAAAATGAGCTGTGGATAGCCACAGCCACAGATACGGATCCCCGTGGATATGAAGCAGATAGCTGCAGATTAGCAGGGCTCTAAAGAGGAGGATGTTGTTCTTCCAAAGCCTAAATCCTCTGAGCTACTCAAAATACTTTCCTGATGAGACTCCCCAGTTGGCAGGCAGGTGCTGTTACATGAGCTTTATAGGTAGTGACAAATAACCTCCTTGAGATTTCAATAAAGAGATAATAGGGAGGAATATGCTGTTGCCTATCTTTTCCATTTGCTTTCTATGTGTATTTGGCAACTTTTCCCTTCAGGACCAGCTTCCCATCATGTTTGTGTGAGTCTTTCAACACAGCAGTGAGAGAGAGAAATTTAATCTTTCTTTCTTTCTTTCTTGCTTGCTTGCTTACTTGCTTGCTGGGAAACTGATTGTAAACCCACCCCACTGACAAGACACGTGTGCACCTGTGATCACTCCCAAAAGGAAACTGACTTGATTTCAGGTGGTTGGTGCCCCTTCAATGAGGGCCAGAGACCTGGACATGCACGTTTATTCACTAGGAAAGCCACAATTGCTGGTGTTGTGTGAATCACATTAGCCCTCACACCCTGCAGAACTCACCATAACTCAGTTACATCACCTTCGTGCGCGCACACGCTCTCTCCCGCCATTCTTCCTAGCAGTACCATTCATAAAGAACACTTGTAACAACAACCTGTAACTATTACTATTAGAGATGAGCATGCACAGACTCCAAAATTCCCAGGTGGATACTATCTGCATAATTGCTTGAATGAGAACCCTGGATCTGGACGTGTCTAAAACTTTGGAAAACATTGGAATCTGGCTGCACTGCCAAACTTCGCCTCGTCAATCACCATCTGCTGTCATCATCAGAACAAACCTTCTCACCTTCCTTTAATTGCATCTCAGTTCCTGCCTTTGGCTCTGGGGGTGCTTTCGGCATTGTTTATTTACTCATTCGATCTTGGATGGCAGCTCTTCTCCCTTTGCAGTGTGATTTACTTGGAACAGGATCCGCTATTCTGCAAACGCTGCTCACTTACATATTTCATTAAGATGTCTGGAGGTCTCCGCGCATTGGACACCGATAAATTAAAGCCTGTTCGTATTATTATTACTACTGAAGCAGCAGCGTGAGAGGCGGGAAAGAGGCCGTTTCGGAAGGAAGGGGTGGGAGCTCTGTGTGTTTGAGGAATCTAGCATGGCACCCAAATCCAAGTGGGAAGAGAGGAGAGTCTCCTCCCAAGGGGAGCTATTCGGAACAGAACCGGGACAGCCAGTGCTGAAGTGGAAGGGAACCAAAACACAAATGGAAAGGCAGGAGTCCGTCGAGCTCCCGCCAATGGTCTGTTTACAGAGAGTCGCTCTCCTTGTGTTTCTTTCTCTGACGAGGAAGTGGGGGGTGCCAAAGCTGACTTGGGAAGTGTGAGCTGTCTCCCGGGGGGCGCCCTTAACCAGCATGTTGTGTTTAATGCCAGGGTGTCACAGGGCTAGACCCTGCATGCAAGGCATGGAGCACACAGAGACTTAAGCAGGTGCCTCATTCTCACCGGGTGAATAGCTCTTTGAGGTCAACCAGCCTGCTCACAGACGCTGTATGTGGTTACGTGCTGTGCTGGAGCAAGACCTGACCGAGGCAGGGGTCCTATCGAACAAAGAGCATGTGATCGTGTAATTAAAGCTACATAATGCTACAGGACCAGGGCTGAATCAGGGATGGGGTGCTTCTTTGCAATCCTCATGAGATTCTTTTAACGCTACGTCTCTGTTTCTCTCTCTCTCGCTCATGCACCAAACTGAACTATTTCTCCCCACAGCCAGACAGTGCGTTAAGCCTCAGTGCCTTTTGTCTGAATGCAGCATGGGCCATCTGAGTGTGTATGCACGCAGAATGGGACAGGGGCCGGAGTTTACGGTGTAGTGCTGGACTCCAGAGAGAGTCTCTGTTGTTCTAGGGAAGAGGGTAGCAGGCTGGATGAAGGATCTGCTGTGATTTCCAGCTGACGGTCACACCTGGTGTGGATTTCACCCACTTGTCTGCCCTTCATCGGGTGGCTGCATGAACCCCTTATATTCTATTCCAGCCACAACTCTCTCCTGCGATAGGATCGGAAATGAGAGATGGCAAAGAGCTACCGAGCCAGGTTTATTCCCTAGAGGTTTATTCCAGGTGCTGTGTGTCCACACTTGGAACTGGAGGTGTAAATGCCAGAGCAAGGAGACACAGTTGCTCTAGCTCGGATCGAGCGAGCGTGCTAAAAATAGTGCACAGCTGTAGTGCCATGAGCAGCAGGAGGACCGGCCGCTCTGTCCGAACGGCAGGCGTGCACCTGGAGTGGCTCATCTTTCCCATCCCTCCCTCCACCGAGGCTGTTCCCCATTTTTAGCACACTAAAAATCAGAGCCAGAGCCGGCCAGGGTGAATCGTAGAATCCTAGAGCTGGAAGAGACCTCAGTTGGTCATCAAGTCCAGCCCCCTGCTCTAGGCAGGACCAATCCCAACTAAATCAACCCAGCCAGGGTCTTGTCAAGCCGAGTCTTAAAACCCTCTAGGGATGGAGATTCCACCCCCTCCCTAGGTAACCCATTCCAGTGCTTCACCCCCTGCCTAGGGAAATAGCTTTTCCTAATATCCAACCTAGACCTCCCCCACTGTAACTTGAGACCATTGCTCCTCCCTCTGTCATCTGTCACTACTGAGACCAGCCTCTCTCCAGCCTCTCTGGACCCGCCCTTCAGGAAGTTGAAGGCTGCTATCAAATCCCCCCTCCCTCTTCTCTTCTGCAGACTAAACAAACCCAAATCCCTCAGTCTCTCCTCATAGGTCATGCGCTCCAGCCCCCGAATCATTGTGGTCACCCCCTGTTGGACCCTCTCCCATGTGTCCACAGCCTTTTTATAGTGGGGGGCCCAGAACTGGACACAACACTCCAGATGTGGCCTCACCAGAGCCGAATAAAGGGGAATAACGACTTCTCTGGATCTGCTGCCAATGCTCCTCTTAATGCCCCCTAATAGGCCATTAGCCTTCTTGGCTACAAGGTCACACTGTTGACTCATCTCTAGCTTCTCATCCACTGTAACCCCCAGGTCCTTTTCTGCTGAACTGCTACTTAGCCATTCAGACCCCAGCCTGTAACAGTGCTTGGGATTCTTCCATCCCAAGTGCAGGACTCTGCACTTGTCCTTGTTGAACCTCATCAGATTTCTTGTAGCTCTAATCTCTCCAGGTCACTCTGGACTCTCTCCCTGCCCCCCAGCGTATCTACCTCTCCCGCAGCTTAGTGTCATCCCCAAACGTGCTGAGGGTGCTCGAGCTGGGATTCACAGCTCTAGCTCGAAGCCTCGCTGTCCCTACAGCGTTTGCCCAGCGACAAGAAGACAGAGATCTAGCCGAGCCCAAGGATAGCTCCCTCAGGCTGAGCCCTGGGGAGCGATGCTCTAAGCTGGCGGTGGCCTTCTGCAGGAGTGGCAGACTGAGCCAGCAGAGCCGCGGCCCTCGCCCAGCACCGAGACGAGGTGGTACCTGTATCGGTGGAGGCCGTGTCCCTCGGGCTCCGCCAAGCAGGTGTTCGGCACAGAAGAGCTGAGGGGGGAGGAAGTTCGCAAGGCCACGGCTGAGACGCCCACTAGCGGGGAGGAGAAGTTGAGCAGCACCGAGGTGATCCGGTGGAAAAGGAAATCCTGGCCGTGGGTCACGTTGATGACCAAGGGGTTCCGCTGACATGACAGCTCGTGCGTCCCTACGAGGGGCGGAGGGAGGCAACGAGAGAGAAGTCATTCGCCCAGCTCTGGGATGGTTTAGCTGGGTTATTCCACCGCTCAGATACTACCCCGGTGGTCTGCGTTCCCCACTAAGCAACGTGCAATGGATTCCTCCACAGGAACAGCCCCGCGAGGAAGTCAGACAGGACAGGACGTGTCCCAGGCCACGGCTAACCCTTCCACTTCAGCCCAACTAGAAGCTAGATAAAGTCACGAGCGCAGGAGAGGGCGAGCCGGCGCTTAAAGGAACGGGACGTAAGGAGGATCCCAACAGAGAGAGGATACCGCAGCCTCCCGCATCCTTGGTCTGCTACGAGGGGGACACAGCCTCAGCCGACAAATGAGGCACGGAGGAACTCAAGGGAGGGCGCTGCCACAGAGATTCCCCAGGTTCCACTGAGCTCAGGGTGAGCCATACTGGCCATAGGAATTTGGGCCGGTTGCCAGGACCTGCCTTGCTAGGCTCCTTGCCCACTGCTGAGGAAAACCCAGGGTGAAGCAGAGAGGGACTCTGGTGCTGAGGGTGTGGAGGAACAGAAGGGAAAGGGGAGCTCTTTCACCGTGACCCGCCCCCCTCAACGTCAGCTCTGCGTGCACTCACCCAGCGAGTGGTTGTGTCTCCTCTCGTCCCCCAGCTGGACGGTCACAGTCGGCTTGTGCTGGTTGCCCAGGGCAACGCCATCCGAGGCCAGGAAAATAAAGACTGAGGTAGCCAGTCCGGGTCTATCGAAGCACACCTGGGCAGGGGGGTAAGAACACCAGAAGGGGCATTCAGGCAGAGGAGGGTAGCGAAGCAGACAGAGCTATACAAATGAGACGGACAGACTGACAGATGTCTAGCTAGATGCATTGGGGACTTCCCGCTCACTCGGCAAGCCCCACAGCAGCTTCGTGGCACCCATTAAAAAGACCTGCAAGCACTTTGCTTGTCCAGGCTGGGTTGCTCAGACAGCTCTGCCAATGCAGCTCTCTCTCTTGGAAAGTGAAGGGGGCGTAAATTCCCCAGTGTTCGGAAGCTTTTTATTCAGATCCACCCCCGGCAACGCTCTCGCCACCATCCGGCTGGAGACGGGGCAAAAGAGTCCGGATAAAGCCAAACTTCCTGTGGGCACAACCCCATTAGCAGCCCAGCTCACCAGGCCCGAGTGCTGGGGTGCCCTGCGGTGCAGAGACCTGGGGAGAAAGAATAAATCTGCCCCCACATTGCTGCCTCAGGGCTCTGCTATTATGAATTCAATGACTGTGGTGCCTGGAGGACCCAACCGAGACCAGGGCCCGCTGCACACAGACAGCCAGTCCTCCTTCCAAAGCGCTGACGACATGAGCAGACGGGGGCAAAACGGGGCGGAAGCAGAGGCAAAGAGACTTACTCACGGTGCCAGGTTCAGTGAGAATGCCCTCGCACGGGCTCCTCAAACCCTGGCTCTGGTGCCCTGGGTCTGGCATGGTGCCTGCAGAGGGTGGGTGTGTACTGAGCATTGAGGAACGGCTGAGGAGCTGCCTGCGAGCTCAGCACACAGAGCACAATCAAGGCTGAGGAAGTGTTTCAGCTCCACAGCCTCTCACTGGGGCCTACAAAGAGCTGGTACGGGGCAACGCCAGGCAGAGGAAACACCTTTCTCCTCTTTCGCCCCAAATTCCAGCACAGCCCTCGCTGAGGACGGGCAATTTCCCAGTTACGTTTCCCTCCCGTTATCTCACGGTTGTTGCCCGGGAACACCACGAAGGCCAATTCTGTTGGCAGCATAGCCTGCTGCAAAGCCGGATTCGTCTTCCCACGCCCAACAAGCTGGGACGAGCGCCACGACATCAAGCGCTCGTCCCAACCTCACTCGTTAGCCTCCGCCTCTGCGAAGGCTGACAGCTCCACGTTAGCCAATGCCAGCTCTGCGCACATTTCGGGGAAAGCCCCCGTACCATCCTCCCCCACGCAGGTGCTTTGCAAAATCTGTGTCTGAGTTAGAACTGCGGGATCTGGCATCACTAACTATTCCCCACCCTGCTTCCTTTTTCTTATTACGTACTGAACCGCACGTGGCTGTCGTTTTTTTCTTTTGTTCCAGTCCTTGCTTGTTACCGTCTGATGTGCCTCCAAAGCTTTCCTGACTCCGATACGGGAGGAAATAGAGAACAAAACAGTGCAACTGGAAAGTGCTTTTCCGTAACTCAGAACAACTCCTTTCTGCAAGTATATCATCTATGCCGAGGTGCATTCTGGGAGACTAGTTATGTTGCACACCATCTGGCAGATGGCCACACCCACTTCAGCCTGTGCCGTCACGAGGAGGCACAACACTGTGTTGCTCTTTAGTGCCACCTGTTGAACATGTTTCATTCCAAGCAACAGGAATCACGTGCCTAACGAGGGACGGGATATTGCTCCTTCTAAGCATGACACGGCGCCTCCAAACAGCCCTGCAAGTGGAGGTAGGTGCTCCTGAGAGGTGTGTATTAGAGCGTGTGCTTTCGTACAAGCATGTGAACAAGAAACCGCCTTCCCAGCCCGATCTGTTAGCAAACCGGCCAACGCTATAAAAACAGAGAAAGAACATGGGCATATTCATTACGAGCCCATAAATAATTTTATGGGAAGAAAATCATAGTGCACCTAAAGCGAGTGTGCGGAGCCAGCCATGAAAGTCTTTGCCATAAACATGTGGGGAAGAAAGGAACTGGCCTAACGCTCCAATGCACTGGAACCTGGGTTCTGGTGCCAGATGGAAAGTAAGCCTCCATCAAAGTAGCGCAAAGAGGGAGATTTCCTATTTCCCGTGAGCAAAGGAAGAAGTGGAAGGCATCTGCCTGCAGGGAACCCAACAGAAAGTTCCAGGAGAATGGAGAGACTGTAGGTAGAGGTCTTTGTAGAGGCGGGGGATATTAGGGATGCAAGGGCATTAGGGACACAAAGATAAGTTTCTTTCCCTTCTTCCTGTCCTGGTGTAACCAAGAGCTGTCCCTCAGCCAGGTGTTCTACAGATGAGTCATAGCTGGGGTGAAAGTGACTTAACATTTCTTGCAGGCGCTGTCCTATTCCTATTGGGTCCCGGCCAGCTCCTTAACTAGCGCCCTGCTGGCTTTTGCCACAGCTCAGCCAGCTCTTGCCGGAGCTGCGCACCAGAGTGCACCTGCTGACTTTCACCTCTGGCCATAGCAAGGGAAAGCCAATGACTGGCACAGGGCAGGGTGGTACTAAGAAAAATGGCAACGGGCAAACACCCAGAGGGGTTACTTGAGATTTTTCTGCTAGTCTTCAAGGTCACCTTTAGCATCACTTTGGCTCCAGGGCAGCAAGGACGCGAACAGCTGAGAAAGCTGGCGTGGAATTCCTGCCCGTACCCACCAAGATTTACGACAGGGCCTCTCTGACCTGGCATCCGAGACCCTGTCCCACAACTTCCCTGGCCTCTACTCCACCAGGGAGAGGAAAACATGGGGCTCAGTCACCTAAGCAGGACAGGAACAGAAGGGACACAGGGAGCAGATACGTCCCCTAGGCAGATGATGAAGTGGGGATTTTCTGATTGTAAGCACAGCTGAATTTTATGCGGCTGCTGCCTTCTATTACTGGGAGGCTGTTCATTGTCTTTGCTCTTTCCATATAGTTTATTTGGGGCACGCTGCCCCGTTCGGTCCTAGATCGTCTATAATTATCTTTTGTGAAGGCGCTCAGAAGGCTTAATGATCATTAACCATTGGTCAGTCACTGGTGTTATCCCTGGTAGTGCAGGACAAGGAGAGGAAAGCTGTCCCCCGACTCCTACCAAGTACCTTCCCCTATTAGGCCCAGCTGCCCAAAACCACTTACTTTGAGCCAAACTCTCCCGTCATCCAACGATGTTTTCTCCCCCTCAGCAACCTGAACGTTGTCGTGGCTGGTGGTGCAGGGGAACCAAGCAGCAAGGGAATGAAGCTCCAGCATATCTTGAAGATGGGGTTGGCACACCTGGAAAGAAAAGATTTTCAACCTCAGCAGCAGTGTTGGGCATGGAGGGAATGGGAGGGAGGGAGCCAACAGCCTCCTACATGCCCACCAGGAAAGAGGCAACACAGTGCCCACCAGAGCTGAAGGAGAGGGGCAACCAAGCCACCTGCGTGAATAAAGAATCTCTCACGGTACCCGAGGAGCAGATTATGGGCTCGATCGCTGATCGGTGTAAATCAGCACAATTTTAGCACACGGACCCTGGTGTATGTCAGCTGAGATTTGGGCGCAATAGCCAAGAAGAAACAACTTTCCAAATAATGAATATGCAAGGTCAGATCCTCAACTGGCATAAATCAACACAGACCTGTGGAACTGCACTGATTTACACCCAGTGAGAAACTGGCCCTAGAAACCTGGATTCCTCTGCAACAAGGGACATTGGATCCAATGTAGTACCAGGATCCATGCTCCTTTCCCCCCTAGCTTAGCCTCTTGGTAAGAAATGTTGATACAATGTTACAAATGACTTACAATGATACTTACAAATGATACAACATCTCAATTACTTATTAGGATGATGACAATTACACCTGCACCCCAAAAGTACAAAGCACTGCACAGACAAACATAAACAATACCCAGCAATAGCATTTTTCACCAGTCAATTCGCAAAGCGCTTCCCAAAGGCGGTCGGTATCGTTACATCCATTATTTTAGAGGTGGGGAAACCGAGGCACAGAGCTGTGAAGCGAGTTGCTCAAGGTCCCCCAGCAGGGGAGTAGCTGAGGTGAGAACAGAACCCAGGTCTCCAAAATCCCATTCCAGAGCTCCATCCACTAGACTTCACTGCCTCTCTGAAGAAGAGCGGGATATGCCGAGGGACAGTGTGTCCCATTGAGCTTCCTTTACAAACTAAGATGACAGGATATTATTTAAAAGGATGGCGCACCAGAGCCCTAGGACTTCCCAGAGCATCCCAGGTCCATTTAGGCCAGCATCCAGCCTCAGACAAAGACCAGCCCCCATGTATCAGATGAAGATGCAAGGAGAAGTCTGTACAAAAATGCCTGGGGGTGGGGGAGTCTAACTTCCAGGCTCACTGACGTCATGGAAAGACGCCCATTTACTTCAAGGTCTTTGTTTCAGACACTAATTGGTAGGCATAGACATGCGGGTTTATATCCTTTCACACCCAGAGCCTATAAGCATTTAGGCCTGTGCTAATTTTTATGGCTTTAGTGGGACAACTCAGTCATGCACGTACTTAAGTGCTTTGCTGGACTGGGGCCACAGCGTCTCCTGATATCTGGTGTAACAGAAACATGCTTCCTTATTCATATCAGGGTGACATGCCCAAGCCTATGGCCCACCCCAAGTAGGGCTGTAGTTAGAAGTGCACGGTTCTTTTTCGGCACATCCTTTTTTACTGTAAAGCTTCTGGCCTGAATACAGCTTTGTGGCCGGGACTGCCCAGGGCTAACAGTGCAGGGGGGCTGTTAAAAGGCCTTTCCCCTGGGTGAGGAGGTGCCGTTTGGGGAGGCCTCGCACCGCGCGAGGGAAAGCGGAGCCTACAACCCACGGCCACGCCCGGGTTGTTGTCCGGATTTTCTTTTCCTGGGTCTATGGCTGATTTTAAGCCGCTCGGGGTGCGGACGCTGCTCCGCCGGGAGGACTCCGTCTTTGGAGAGGGTGCCCATCCGGAGAGACATGAAAGGCAAGGACCCTGTGGAGATCGCGTCAGGCTGGGGGCATCCCCGGGACAAGAAATCGCCACGCCTCACCCGCACCACAGGCTCGCCAGTCACCATGGAAACAGGGCAGGCCTCCTTGTCCTGGTGGGAGGTGTACGCCTGTGCGGCCCACTGGTCCACGAACCCTTTGGGCGTGTGGAGGCCACAATCTAGGACGCTGCTTCTCCTCTCGAAGGGCTCGCACACTCCGTCCCCCTCGTGGACGTAACACAGGCTCGGCTCTCCTGCAGGGAGAGGCCAAAGAGGAGACGTTCAGGGGTCAAATTCCGCGCAGTGTCTACGATGCTTCTGCTGGGGACAGATCCCTGAAGAGAGTCCTGACAGACAGGGCAGCCCACTGTTACGGTGACCAGATGTCCTGAGTTTAGAGAGAGAGTTGCAATATTGGGGTTTTTTTTAAATACAGGAACCTATTAGCTCCCACTCCCGACCTGATTTTCCCTATTTTCTATCTGGTCAGAGATACCCACTGCAGAGACGTTATGACAGGAGAAAAAACTGCCCTCCCCTGTGTGTGGGGGGGGAGTGGAGTACTGGGATGGCCATCACAGTCCAATAAGGGGGTGGCCCTCTCCAAGGATGGGAGTGTCACCAAGGAGAGAAGGAATGAGCTGACTCAGCACAGGACTCACCAACACAGTTGAAGCCTTTTTCCTTTTTACACTTCCCAGAGCAGCCATCTCCATCTAGCAGGTTTCCATCATCACACTCCTCCTCCAAGCTCCTAAGAGACCGAGGGCAAGAAATGTTAATGCCCCCTTGACTAGACACACCCTTCGAGTGCCTCAGCTCCATAAGGACCCTCATGATGAAGGACAGCCCTTGAGTCAGATTTCACTCGAGGTTTCAGGGGAGGCCAACCACGTGGAGGGAAAGACGAATCCAACTTTTGTCAGATGAGGAAGGACTTGAGAAAGTCAGAGGAGGGGAAAAGAGGTGCCACGCTGCCATCATCTTCCTGGGTGAACTCAGGGTGGGAGCAAGGGCAGCTACCAAGCTTGCGTCAGAGGAGAGCAGCCAGGGATTCATGAGGGCAGATAAGAACAGCCAGTTTCTCCACTGAGAGCTGGACAAGTCGAGGTGGGGTAAGGGATCTGGAGGAGTATAGTGAGTGAGAGGGGAATTGCAATAACCACAGGCAATTTTCACAAGCAGCATCTGTCGCTGGGTCGCGTAAAGCTAGTCCGAAGGCAAAACCAGGGACAACACCATGCTTAGGTGAATTCGGGTTTATTCTCATGCGTGGATCCACATTCACACACCTTCACGCTCAAAACTTCAAACACTCGTGCAACTTTGCTTCACATGCACGCTTCATCTACAAAAACACACAGTGTGAAAACCAATCTTGTCTCTCCAGTCTCTGGGCTTTGACTCTAAAAAGCTTCTTTCGAAAAAGATCGTCTAGATAGCCACAAGAGTTGTGAAAAAGCGATGCGCTTTTTTGAAAGAGAGCACCCTGGAAATCTGGATGCTCTCTTTCGAAAAAGCCCTGCTTGCATTCAAGAACGCCTTTTCTCGCAAGAGCTCTTTCGAAAAAAGGTATTCTTCCTGGTAAAAGTAGGTTTACCAATTTCAAAAAAAACCACCGCGTTCTTTTAATTTAATTTCAAAAGAACACGATGGCAGTTGAGATGCAGGTGACATTTTTTTCAAAAAAAGCCACTTTTTTCGAAAAAACTCCGTAATCTACATAAGAACATAAGAACGGCCGTACTGGGTCAGACCAAAGGTCCATCTAGCCCAGTATCCTGTCTACCGACAGTGGCCAGCACCAGGTGCCCCAGAGAGGGTGGACCGAAGACAACGATCAAGCGATTTGTCTCCTGCCATCCCTCTCCAGCCTCTGACAAACAGAGGCCAAGGACACCATTTTATCCCCTGGTTAATAGCCTTTTATGGACCTAACCTCCATGAAATTATCTAGCTTCTCTTTAAACTCTATTATAGTCCTAGCCTTCACAGCCTCCTCTGGCGAGGAGTTCCACAGACACACCCACTGTTATTTCACGGTGGTTTTACACCGTTTCCCAAACAAGACTTCCTCAGCCGGATTCTCCACTGCCCTTTAGATCAGCCACGTTAAAAGCACGTCACAAATTTTCATTGCTTTCCTCCTATTTACGGGGCTTATTTGGGGTTTTTTACTTCACTCGGCTTGGACTCTGGAACTAAAATGGTCATTCTCTGTCCTATGGCCAGACTCCTAATGGGAGTAAATCAATAAACAAAGTCAATGGAGCTATGCTGAAGTAATCTAGCTCCTTCTTTCTAGCCAGTTTCCTCTGTTGGGTCTCATGCACTTGGTACAACCACTTTGTGTTGGGTTTCACAACTCTACACAGGGAGGCTAACAATTTACAAAGCTGTTTTTCCTGGAAAAGAGTCAAGCGGAAGTCAGAAAAATGTAAAGGGGAAACCCCACACATTTTTACCAGGGAGGATAGTGACGTTTGGTCTCATTCGGGGTCTTTAAATCGAGAGCGGCTGTCCTGCTACAAGATCTGCTCTAGCAGAACCACAAGTTACCTGGGACGATGGAGAATCATTGAGGGAAGTCCTCGGGCCTACACTATGCGGGGGGCCAGACTAGATGAGAATGTTCCTTGTAGGGGTTAAAAATCACTGACACTTTGGAGAGAGTGGTCCAAAGCTTAGACCAGAACCAACCACCCATGACTTTGGGGAGTTCAACTCAGAACCCAGATCCAAACTCTGCACCTTACAAGGCCCATCTTTACCTGCTAAGGAGCATTCAGCTTTACTTGGCAGAATTCAGCACTTACAAGGTCACTTTTCCTTCTCCACAATAGGGAGCACCGTGAGTATGGATCAAGGATGGAGAGGGTTCACCCATGGCCGCCCCAGCCACAGTCTGCACCTGGTACCGGTACACCTGGCCTGGCGTGACTTCCCTGCAGAAACACAGAGGAATGAAACAAACTGCAGGAGAGACCAAATACAATGTGTGAATGCTACATCTGCATGTGGCCGTAAGCAGAGATTCATTAGAGCCTCAGGGGGTGGCTATCGGAGATAAAAAGCATGTGTGTTGTACGCAGGCAGAATGGAAAGATCAACAGCCCTATGGATTCTGCCCTCAGAGGCAGGAAGTGGTGTAAGAACTGGACCGATGAACGTACCCTAATCATAGCTCAGTTGTATCAAAGTTCATTAAATAATACAAAGTCCCACCCCAAATGCTAATGAAAACCAAGTCAAGTTGCTTTCAGTGGTGAGTGTTGTAAACAGGTGCAAGAGAGACTAAATTAATCCAAACCAAAATGCCGCACGGATCTAATTCAGGGAGCGTGTTGAAGTCATGCTTGGTAAAAACAGAAAATGTGGAAGTGGAAATTCATTAAAACTCACGTGCCAGATGTTAGGCCTAATGGTGAGCAAAAGAATGCAGAGATGGGCGATTCCACCCACCATTCTTTCTGTGGGTCCTTAAAGAAAGTGTCTTTGGGGGAAGAAAATTAAAAAACTGATGGAAGCTATTGAAGCAAGCGTCAAAGTCCTGGCTACCAGCCCCACCGTCTCCTGGGATCCATGGCCTTCATCTTCCTGATCCCAAGAGATGCCCTGACTAACCCAGGCCAGAGAGGGAGCTCCAGATAAAGCCACTGCCTCTATAGGCTCCAGCTGCATCCTAAACACCACCTGGGATGCAACAGGATTGGACCGTAACTGCAGTAACATCAGAAGCATATTACGTCTAACGCCACATCTTCATTAAACGGAAGATTAGAGCTGCCGAGATCGATCTTCTGGAGTTCGATTTAGCGAGTCTAGTTAAGACTCGCTAAATCAAACTCAGAGGGTGCCCATGTCGGCAACCGGTACTCCTGCTTCTGCAAGGAGTAAGGAAAGCCGACAGGAATGTATGCGCTCATTGGCCTCCTGCTTTAGCCCTGGCTGAGTCCAGCCAGACACGTGGGGGGTAGCAGGCAGGGCCCCAGCTGCTCTGACTTGGCCTGGGTTAACCAGTTCAATGTAATTTTATTTGTTTAACTAGTTAACTATTTAAACGGTTCTTTACATCCCTAATAGTAATACAAATAGGAAAAAAAAACCTATGCACATGGAAACCAACAGAATCGTGGGTAACGGTAAAGAAAACATCACGTGGGTCACAAATAGAACCCTGATGGGCCACAAGTTGTCCACGCTGACCTCGTAGGACACAGCTTCACTGTCAGATCAAGGGGGGAGTTTTGGACAAAGTCTGAGGCCGGGCATTTCGGGCCCTACTCACCACAGACAGGCCGAGCCTTAAACATATCAGAATGCAGAAGCCGGGAGAGCATGGAGAACGAGAACAGTACGCGCGCCCCCCCTCCCCACCCGGCCTTTGGTGGACCGATGCTGCTACTCACGTGTCGGTGAACTTCCGGTGCACGTGCAACATCTTTATGGGGGAGCTGCCAGCAAACGGAGGGTCCCGGAGGACCCTGTACCGCACAGGTTTGCAGCTGGAGCAAAGGGAGCTCTGGGGGATGGAGATTAAGAGAGCCGCATCGATCTCCATCCGCTCGTCGAAGGTGTAGACCTTCACCCCAGACACCTTCCTGTTGATGTTGAGTCTAACGGTGAGGGGGATGTCACAGAAAGTGTCCAGGGGGCCCAGGTGGATGGACTCCCCATGCTCCGTCAGGATTTCAATGTCAGACAAGGCCTTGGGCGAGTCGGTGGAGAGGTAGGTGGTCCATAGCACAAGAGACTCTGGGTACACGGGGTGCAGAAAATGCAGCTCCAGGATACAACCGTGGGGTAGGGGGCAAGGAACAGTCATGTTCATGTGGTACAGGTGGAGCTCCGGGCTCCAGGCCTGCAGGCTGGGTTCACAGGGCTGATCCACGTCGGGCGGACCTGGAGAAGGGGAGAAGATGGATCCTGATAAGGAGCGGGTTAGCTCCTTTCAATAGCAAACAGAGCTGTCGGATTGTGTGCGCACAGCAGACACTGAGCGAGGGAGGACACGGCACTTTACCTACAGCCTCCTCGGGGGTCCAGTAGCCGGAGGAGTCACAGACCCGAGGGGACGAGGCCTCGTGTACGTATTGGCTGAACGTACCATCTTCAGTGCAGTCTCCGCAGAGGGTGCTGGGGTCCCTGCAGAACAGAGAGAGAGAAAGAATGAGGAAGACTCTTCCGCCCCTCCCTGCCTAGTTTCTTCCTCACCCATCTCTGCATGACGCGGGAAGCCCACACGAGCCAGCTGCTTGTTCTCACAGGCAGAGGCTGGGAAGGGAGACAGTGGGGTTGGGATTCCCAGCTCGTCCACCGATTCCCTGTGTGATCTCGGACAAGTTGGTGAATGCTCCGTGCCTCAGTTTCCCCTCTCTGAAATGGGGAGAACTGCACTTCCTGCATCTGCCTGGATGATTTAGACTGGAGTCGTGCACTCAGATTTGACCTCTAGGGGCATCCCAGAATACAAACACGGGATCCTGTTAAATTAAAATGCCACCATTAAGCTAATGCAGGACCAGGGGAGTATTTCCTGCACCAAAGACTATGTCACAGAATCACAGAACGTTAGAATTGGAAGGGACCTCGAGAGTCATCGAGTCCAGTTCCCCGCCCTCATGGCAGGACCAAGCACTGTCTAGATCATCCCGGATAGATGCCTGTCTAATCTGTTCTTAAATATCTCCAGAGGTGAAGATTCCACAACCTCCCTAGGTAATTTATTCCAGTGTTTCAACACTTTGACAGTTAGGAAGTTTTTCCTACTGTCCAAGCTAAACCTCCCTTGCTACAATTTGAGCCCATTGCTTCTTGCCCTATCCTCAGAGGCCAAGGAGAACAATTTTTCTCCTTCCTCCTTGTGACACCCTTTTAGATATTTGAAAACTGCTCTCATGTCCCCCCTCAGTCTTCTCTTTTCCAGACTAAACAAGCCCCGTTCTCTCAGTCTTCCCTCACAGGTCACGTTCTCTAATCCTTTCATCATTTTTTGTTGCTCTTCTTTGGACCTTCTCCAGTTTCTCCACATCTTTCTTGAAATACAGTGCCCAGAACTGGACACAATACTCCAACTGAGGCCTAATCAGCGCAGAGTAGAGTGGAAGAATGACTTCTCGTGTCTTGCAAATGACACTCCAGCTAATGTCCAAGCATTCTGAACAGTTAGTCCTGAACGGTCTGCAGTAATTTTCTATCCTACGCTTCCGCTTTCCTTCTCGGCCATTTTTTTAATGACATTTGATGGCTCAGATGCCTGTCTGTGCCCTCCCTGGGTGACAGAGCCCTGTTCCAACGAGGGATGTAAAATCCCACGTAATCAGTTAACCGGTTTAATGTTGTTTGACCAGTTAACCACTTACATGGGATCCCATGGGCAGGGGACCATGGTGGGCCCAGCTGGGCAGAAGCAGCCCCCTGCCCATGTTGGGCAGGGGGGCTATTCCAGCCCAGCCTTGCGACTGGTAACCGTCACTCAGTAAGGATCGTGCTTGCCAGTTACCCGCTGACCTTCCTAGTTTCAGTGTCATTCGGGAGCCAGGAACAGCCCTTTGCATGGGAGACATTTGGGGCAGCAAGGGAGCAATTATTCTGTAACTAGGCAGGATGCCCTTAAGCATCCATTTTCTCTGAAGAACAAGGCATCTGAACGACCCGATTTGGGGAACGCTTTCATAGGGCAGCGAGACTTCGCTCTCCTTCGAAAAGGGCTTGGAGCTGGGAGTTGTTAGAGATGTGCAAAGTATTATTTCCAAGCAGCTGACGGGCACCTCTGCTTGGCACAGCCATTGTAACTCACAGCTTTCACAAGCCACTAAGCTTGGCAAGGCCCCAAGCAGAGAGATGGCAGGAGACAAATCGCTTGATCATTGTCTTCGTCCACCGTCTCTGGGGCACCTGGTGCTGGCCGCTGTCGGCAGACAGGACACTGGGCTAGATGGACCTTTGGTCTGACCCAGTACGGCCGTTCTTATGTTCTTATGTAATATTTAAGCATCCCTATCCGCCGAAACAAGTAAACATGCTGCATTTTTAAAGATGTGCCTAAGTCCCACTAAAGTCCATGGGACTGAAGAAGCACATGCTGGAAGTGGAGCACATGGCAAAGTGCTTTGCTGAACGCAGGTGGATTTGGTGAACTGGGGCCTTAGCTACTGTCAGCATCTGGTCTATACAAACATTTACCAAGGCACTCCTAAAGAAATGGACAGATTAGACACAGTCCTCTCTGAAGCCCAGGGAGGGAGAGAGGGAAGAAGGAAGGAAGGAAGGGATTACCTAGCTCTCTTGTTTGACACATTTTATCAATAGGTCTCCAAACTGTTTACAGAGGACATAAATATCCTTGCCCCCATTATACAGGAAGGAAAACTGAAGCATGGAGAGGTAAAGTGACTTGATCAAGAGGCCAGTGGCAGAGCTAGGACTTGATGGCAGGTCCCGACTCCCAATCCAGTGCTCTATCCTTTGGGCCATGCTGCCTTTTCACTGACTTAATGATTTAGAGCCCCAGCCCACATGATTTTTAAAAATAGAAGCAACACAAATCCTATATCAGAGCAATACCCTGCTACCCACCCTCAGTGCTTCCCAGCTCAGGATCGCAGAGGATTTAAAGGTCTGGTCTTCAGAGGCAGGTCCCGACTCCCAATCCAGTGCTCTATCCTTTGGGCCATGCTGCCTTTTCACTGACTTAATGATTTAGAGCCCCAGCCCACATGATTTTTAAAAATAGAAGCAACACAAATCCTATATCAGAGCAATACCCTGCTACCCACCCTCAGTGCTTCCCAGCTCAGGATCGCAGAGGATTTAAAGGTCTGGTCTTCAGAAGGATAGTTAGGTGCCTCGCTAGGACCTGAATGCAAGACCCTGACATCTGAAAATATTCCTGACGTGCCCCAAGTCACAAAGCAGGGATGCAAATCCAGCTCTTCTGGCTCTCGAGCCTTAACCACAAGACCATATTCCCGCCTCATAAATCAATCGTTTACCCAGCAAGGGCTAACTAAAGCTCATTTTTCATTCGGAAATTGCGCTCTCAGGTTGCACTTGGCATAGTCTCCTGATGGCACCCGCCCCGAGCCCCCAGCAGCGGAATGCTTTTGGGAGGACGGGGATGCAAATCCAGCTCTTCTGGCTCTCGAGCCTTAACCACAAGACCATATTCCCGCCTCATAAATCAATCGTTTACCCAGCAAGGGCTAACTAAAGCTCATTTTTCATTCGGAAATTGCGCTCTCAGGTTGCACTTGGCATAGTCTCCTGATGGCACCCGCCCCGAGCCCCCAGCAGCGGAATGCTTTTGGGAGGACGCTCCTGGCATCACTGGGGAGGGGGGGGGGGGGGGGTGTGCCTCATTCCTCTGTGCCTGCAAGCGCTGCTGCACAAATTCCCACCCACTCAAAACACAGAGAAACAAGTCGGGGTTGCCAGCTGGCAAAGAGCTTCAGGGTTTTGCCAACTCATCTTCAACACCTTCGCGAACTTCTGAAATTCCCTGCGTCGGTCCCCAATGACTTTTCCTAGGGAACCACGTACAAATCCGTCGTGACAAGCAATTCCCAGCGGAGGCAAGCACAGGCACTTGGCTCGGCATCCCGTTACAGGCTGGGGTCAGCAGTAGGACTACAAGACTGGTCCCCAGTTGAGCCGATCTAGACGAAGCCGGAGGCCATCAGACACGCCGGCCCGTGTTAGCGCATGCCGGTTTCCTGGCACCTTCCGCTGAGGACGGGCCTGTCCTAGAGACCATGCCTCTTACCTTTCATAGAGAACACCGCTAATGGGAGGCAGCCAGTGGATGGTGAGGGAGTCTTGGCTCTGCCCGGAGACCACGGGGGGCAGGGGAATTGGAGTGGGCTTCCTACCCTGGCTCCATCGCTGGTACACCAGATCCAAATAGCAATGCATTCGAGCCACTTGGTTGGGGGTAAAGCTGTCGGTGCAGGCGTCGTCTGAGAGACAAAGGAGGGAGAGGACTGGCTGGTGAAATGTTTCGAGAGCCGCGTGCGAAGGGCGCTGTGGAAGGGCTCGTTAGCAGGACTGATTACTAACGAGAGCCCTGGTTTAGGGCACCGCGGGACGATCAGAGACAAACACAAATGCCCTAGGCTAGAGAGATTGCCCAGGGCTTGTCCGACAGGACGCCCCTCGCGTGGTTTCCCCAGGCTGCCACAAGATGGCACTATCTCAGCAGCTGTTCCTTTTCTGGAACAGGCCTGGCTGCCGCGCTGGGTTGCACGGGGACGGGCACTACCTTGGGGACGGGCACTACCTTGGGGACGAAGCTCTGGAGATGGGGGGACCTGACAGGGGACCACAAAGGGACGAAGAGCCATTGGCTCTCCTCAGACCTTGCTGCGGACCGAAAGGGCATCGTTGCCAGCGCGCCGCCGTGGCCAGGCACTTCCGCACGCTCCCCTGGGCTCCGCCAATACACGCGCAGGGCTAATGGGCTGGCTTCCGTGGAGCTCTGCCCCCTTACATCCGCCGAGCCCTCAGCCCACAGCACAATGGCTCATGTAGGATCCCGCGTCCTGCCCCAGGCATGACCTGATGCTCCAGGGGAAAGCAAGGGGGTCCACAGCGCATGGGACGCTAACTCCTCAATCCGCGAAGCCACGGCGCTGGGCAAAGCAACCTCTGCCTCCGAGCTTCCCGGCGCCTGGAATTTGCAGGAGTTCGGACGGAGGAAAAACTCAGCAAGGTCAATAGGAGCGGGCCTGTTTCATTCCCGGTCAGCAGAGCCACCAGGTGTGGGTTATTGGTACATACGGCACCACAAAACACCCACGCAGTGTAATGGATTCAACCGTACCGCCACGCCAGCCAACGCGCCAGCCTGCAGGGCTCACCCCTTACCCAGGCATCACCCTGGACTTCCGACCCGGGTCGTCTTCCCGAATGCTGAGCGGTTTTTTGTGCTGCCCCAACGAGCCAGAGGATTATTACTGGATCAGCTCCCCGGCTGAGGTAAACTGCCACAGTGCCGGTGAATTCACAGCCCCCAGGGATCTGCCCCTTTATCATCACTAGCATCTGCATGACAGTCGAAGCGAGGGTCCCCTCCACCCCCCGCATCGGGTGCTGTGCGGACACGTAACGAGGGAGACTCCCGACGCCAATCTCAACAAGCAGGGCAGACCGCGGCTGGGAGGAAGGACGCGGTATCCACGTGTCCGGCCACTGTACAACTAAATGGAGCCCCTGTCCCCAGGCAGCCTGCCACCCCTTTAGAGCCCCCCAGAAGAAAGATCTGCGGTGAGTTCTGGTCTCCAGAGCGCGGAGGTGAGCTGATGGTGATTGGGTGCGCACTGTGCCGGGAATACCACGTGTGGCTGTATCCCCGGGGCAGCAATGGTTCTCCGCTGAGCCCAGGGGCCTGGTGGGTCTCCGCTCACTTCCCCTGGTTCCACAGGCCTGGGTGCCATGGAGCGACCCCTGTGGGGCAGTGGGGCGAGAGGCAAAGGGTGCAAACACTCGCAATTCCAGCAGACGCCAACGGCTGCTGTCGGGATGCTACCCCTTTGCAAGTCAGGGCAGAGGGGGCCTAGGACCAGGCGTCAGCCCTGAGTTGGGTACCGAACCCAGACATGCATTTAGGAGCAGACATGTGGATTTAAATGCCTGCAGGATTGGCACATGGTGCTCTTCATACTGCTCCGGTCGCCCACAGCAAGTCGAGCCAGGAGGGAGCAAAATCCCTGATGCCAAGAACAAAGCAGAGGACTGAGCACACACCAAGGGCCAGATCCTGGGCTAGTATAAACTGGCACAGCCCCCGGGCTTGTTTTATGTCAATTCAGGTCCTAGGTGGGACTGGACGCTGGGGAGACCCACACTCCTGACAGGAAGGAAATATCCCAGAAGCGACGGGGAACGAGAGACAAGCGGAGTTTCTGGCGGATACAACAACTAATCCCTCCTGTTACCTGTGTAGCTCATGTAGTTGTTGAACGGCGTGCCGGAGAAGTGGGTGTGGCCACAGGTGTCATTGGCAGGCTCTGGATCTCGGCAGAGTTTACTTTTGGGGGTAGGGGCGGTGTCAGCACAGAGGTCTCCGGTCTCCATGGAAGGTGTCGTCTCCCGGCAGGGATCATCACAAGATTCCCTTTCGCTCACTCCCTTGAAGACGTGGTAGAGTCCCAGGATATGTCCTACTTCGTGGATCATGGTGTTGGTATGGCCCGGCATGCCATAATAGGCTGGGTTGAGGACCACGCCACCTGGAATTGCAAAAACATTTGATATCATTGAAGAGAGAGACACGGGGAAGCAACTACCTCCAACTTCTAATGGTTTAGTCCAGCTGCTCCCCATGTCTCCGTTTTCTTAGCAATCACAAAACAAGGGGTCTGATGCAAGACGCAAGACAGACTCCCATGAAGGCTGAAGGCACTCAGTGCCTTGCAGGAACTGATCGGCACCAGGGAGGGTGAATGGTTAACCAGTTAACCAGGTGATGCTTACCAGTTACGGTTAACCAGCAGAGGCTGGAGCAACACCCCCAGCCACCGTGGCTAGGGGTGTTCCAACCTAGGCCTATTTAACCAGTTAACTAATTAAATGGTTAACATACTGCACTGACTACAGTAAAAGACTCTGCCACAGACACTTACCTTCCTTCCTTCCCCCCACCCCCGTATCCCCCTCCTGTTCTGAAATGTGATTTGTCCTTTTCATGTGTGTTCATTTTTTTAAATTGTATCCTTTGGTATATCTGGTTGTGCCGATTTTCTTCCACTACTTGATCTGAGGAAGCGGGTCTGGCCCACGAAAGCTCATCATCTAATAAACCATCTTGTTAGTCTTTAAAGTGCTACATAGTCCTGTATTTTGCTTCAGCTACACCCGACTAACACGGCTACATTTCTATCACTATTCTAATTAAATGGGGTTTTGTATTCCTAATCGGCACCGTGCTGGGTGAATGTCCTTGGATTTTCCAACATCTGGCTCATCAGTTCCTTCCAGCCGTGGTGTCCTTCAATGTCTGTTCTGAGATATAACTCTCATTTGCAGCCTCGCGCCCCCTCTAAATGCATTTCGGAGCGGTGCTCGTGCCGGGACAGTCTTGGCTCTTCCCCAGAGACGAAGAGCTCCATGCAAACCCAGGTGCAGATCCAAAGAAGCAGGCGAAGCAAGGCCTGCCTACGCCAGCGCTGAATGTGGCCCTGGATCCAGGACCCATTTGGGGGAGGCTTTTCAAGACCCACTCACGGCCAACGGGATCTGTGCTCTTAACTTGCTCGCAGGCGTGTGAAAGGCCTTTCCCTTTCCGGGCAGCGGGGCTTGCAGGCTGGTGAACATTGGGAGACTGAATGCACTGGAAGCGGCGAGTCAGAGCAACACAAGGGCAAGCTACCCTGCACTTGCCCAACATAGAACCCTGGAGAGATGGTGAGAAGAGAGATGGCTCCATGAGCCGGCAATCCCTGACGCGAATGGATGGAGCTAGAATTAGGGACGTAAGCGACTCGTCGACTATCCGATAAGCACAAGTTTAAGGAATAGTCGACTAATCCCTCAACTAGTTGCTTCCCCCCGCCCTTGCTGCCTCTACCAGAGAGAGCAAGTGGGGGGGGGGAGGAAGAATAGGAGCCGGTGCTGGAGGGTGCAGGCTTAGAAATCAGTTCTCCCCAGCACCGTCTCCGCAGGGGTAGGGGGTAGCAGGGACCGGGCAGAGCGATTCCCGGCTCGCGCCCAGTTCTAGACGCCGGGCATCTGCTTTTTAAATGTATGAAGAGCCTACCAGCTCTTAGTACATTTAAAAGGCAGAGCTGCAGCGGGGTTCGCTCTTGGGCTCCCCGTTTATCGACTCATCGATGGAAATTCCGCTGATGAAACTAAATGTAACAGCCCCAGCTAGAATAGAGGGCGAATGCGACACTCCTTCCAGAAACATCCACCCCATCCCTCCTGCTCCCTGGGGAGAGGAACTTCAACGCGCTGACCCTCCGGGACCAGGATGGGGTCTCCCAACGCAGTGGCCCCGAAGGCGGGAGAAAGCGGCTCCGAAATCTGCGGCCACTGGAAGGAAAGACCGCCACTGCCACCAGGCGTGCCGTCCCTCCCCCCTCCTTTCACTGCTGTCTCTCCCCTCCTCCTCCATCCCATGCAGTCCCCTGGCGCTCAGGTCAACCGGCAGTCAAGGAAATCCTCGTACCAGGCCTGCAGGCTAGAGGTGAGCTCACAAGAGCCCTTGACGGCAGCTGAGTGAGCCAGCCCTACTCTTCCAGTCGTGTGCCTCTGCCCCTCCCAGCAAGCCAGGGCCCCATGAGAAAGGGTGCTGAGCCAGCGATGTCCCAGCCCTGATGCCGGGGCCCTCATGTCAGGCTAGCAAGATAAAGGGGTTCTTCCGGGGATTCCCCCAGGCCAGTGCCTTGACGTAAGCCCAGCCAGGGACGTCCTACAACGCCGAGCGACGCTGAGCCAGTGACCGCATGGCAGCCGGTCCCTCAAGATCACTGGGCAAGCTAGAGAGGTCCAGTCAATCACTGACAAAGGCCTCGGCATCCATAATCAGCCCTGTATGCCAAGCTGGGCGGGGCGGTGACCTCCCCAAGGCCCTACACCCTGGTATCAGACCAGCCAGTTACCCGTGCTGAGCTGGTGAGCTCACCCAGGCCTAACTGAGCTCACCCAGGCCTGCCTAATTGAGAGTCCTTTTGTCTCCGGGGGAGGGGAAGGAGAGCCTGCCGTCTCCAGTTCTCCCTCCCTGTGAGGGGGAAAAGGGAGACTGGCCCCAGGCTCTACCAGCCAGAATCTCAGAGACACAAAATGGCCCTGAGTTTTGTGGGGAGGGAGGGCCGCAAAGAAGAACCCCCATTGCCTGGAGACTGCGGAGGGGCTTTCAGGGAAGAGCATACGCCATCAAATTTGGGTTTGCCACAGGCACGCACCAACACCCCGGCTCTTGGGGGAAAGCACAAGGAGGACCCCAGAGCTTAGTACTCCCCCTGTCAGTCGTTCCCACAGAGGGGGAGTAGGTAGCAACCCCCTGGTGGGGCGGACAGACTCTGAAAGGGGGTACCGGTCCCAGGGCCCCCCACATGGACCATGACTAAACACAATAACAATATACCAAGCGAGAGCGTCTCCCGGAAGGATTAAGCGGCACTGTTCTCGGTCGCATCCATTATATACACCACCAGCATTTTGCTGCAGTTCATTTAGAACCCACGGATGCGTGTGCGCAGTCCAGCGTATTCCTTCCAACGCGCATCGCCCTGCATCGGCGGTCGCGTTATCCATCCACCTGTCCTGGGTACGTGCCTCCGAAGATGCAGAGTCTTCTCTGCTCTTGACCGCGCTAAATTATTTTGTGTCATCCACAAACCTTGGCCCCTCACTGCTTACCCCTCTCCAGAGTGATTAGTAAATGCACGAAACATCACCAGAGCCTTCGGCCATCCCACACGGCCACTCCTCCGCCACGTGACCACTGACCCCAGCTCTGCTCTCTGCCCCTTAGCCCACGACAATACTTGGCCTCTCGCTTGACGTTAACTTGTTAATAGCCTCACGTGAAGGACTTTGAGCTAGATTCTCAGGGTATGTAGGTGCCTAACTCCCATTCAAACCAAAGGGTGCTGGGCACCTTGGAGGATCTGGATGTTTGTCAAAACCTTATTTTTTTGAAGTCCAAATGAACTACAGGTTGAACCTCTCTGGTCTGGAAACACCCGTGATCCGGCATCGTTGGTGACCCCGAGGGTGCTCCAGGGTTGGAGGACCGTGGATGTTGCCAGACCAGAGGGCGGGGCCGGCGTGTGGGGTGCCACACCGGGGAGGTCCAAACTGTGCCTGCTTACGCCCAAGCTGAGGAAGGCATGCGTGCCACCTGTGCGGTGCGACCCCGTTGATTGAATGCAAAGCTGTCGCCCTTCCCGACAAGTGCAGCGCACCTAAAAGGAGGGACTGTGCCAACCAAAACCTTCACGCTCCACCTGAGTTTGGGCCAAGTTCGGACCGAGAGTCAAACTTCCGGCGCTGGCTCTCATGCCGCGCTCACCCCCGCCTCAACCCACGGCCTTCGTGTTTGACTCAAGCATTGCAGCTGGTGCTCGGCTCAGCTTACGCGTTCAGGCTGGGTCATCCCGGAGGGAAATGAAAGGCAGTGTGACCAGGCTACCCGGCCGCCTCCGCGCCTGCCTCTCGAGTGAGCACGGAGAAGCGCGTTTGACAGGAGCCGGGGAAGGCCTGGTGATGAAGGCAGAGGATCGGGGGCACACAGGGATAGGCAGAGGGGCTTAAGGAGCCGGCTGTCGTACCATTAACACCAGTCGCAAGCGGCCGCCCCTTGAAAACGGTTCTTAGGAGCTGCAGGAATGGATTGTGTGGAGAGTTGCCTTCCCCCACAAGCGCGCTGCAGCTGAGAAGCCGGTCCCCGACTCTGCCGCGCGGAGCTGCCAGCACGCTGCGGAAAGGGGACTGGTAAAAATAACTCCCGCCCGACCGCTGGGTGGGACTGGAAGGTTTGCACATCCCGGGCTACAAAAGCAGAAGGCCAAGGGTCTGGGGTGCAGGTGTCGGGAGCAATTACTTCCAGTGACTTACGTGTTGCTCAGTAAGATGTTTTGACTGCACAGTGTAAAGGCCTCTGCCAGAAATGTCTGAGAGCAGAGAGAGGGAGGGGCGGGGGGACCAGACAGGGGAGGGGGGGATGGAAGGAAGAGGAAGGCAGAAGAGAAGGAAGCAAGACCCATAGGTGTGTCTGAGCAGCAGCTGTCTGCACCCCGCTGAGAGAACACTTCCGCTTCATCCCTTTTTATTGGGGTGATTTAGGGGCCCGTTCCCAAACCGACTCAAGGGCAGGCGTCCCTCCACTTCCCTGGGAGTTGGCTCCGGCTCTAAAAAAGCAACTAGAGTTGGCATCTGTACTGACGTTCGCCTGGAGCTGTCGGTGCTAATGCCTGAAAATCACCAAATGAATTCTACACACCACCGATCTGGGCAACCCAGCATGGCTACGGCTGCCTCTCTCCGGGCGTTATTCCGGCTGGGGCGATCTGGCACTCTGTAGGGCTAGAGAGAAGCCAGGCCGGGATGGGGGAGGGAACGGGCACTCCCCTCGGGAGCTGCACAGCCTGAAGGGCAGCCCACGCCGGCTGGAACTGTAGCCCCTCTGCTTCCACAAAGAGAAAACGGAACTTTTGTGAACTTCTCCCCAAAGCGACTCTTCGGGCTCCCGGCAGCGAGTCTGGGACCTTTACCCAGGGCGGGCACTAAGACTCCAAAGGTCCTTCCCCGACAGACCCTCAGTCCCGGTTTCTGCCCCACGGACGTGCTCTGCCCCCACCCCAAGAGCTGGCCGTCTCAAACAGAACAGGCCTCTCCCACACACACCGGCGCCTCAGGGTCTGAGCTTGGGCCAAGTCAACCTGAGTCTCGCTGCACATTCTGCCGGGCTTTGGGGCAGACCCCTGCTCCCACCTGCCTCCCCCTGCCCTGCGAGAGCCGTAGCAAGCAGCTGTGCCCTGTGCCCCAGCCACAGAGGGGAGTACCGCCAGGGGACTGGCTTACCCAGGTGGCTGAGGGCCTCTTTATCCCACGGCCAGGTGGCAGCACCAGCCAGCTCCTCCCGCACCGAGCTGGCGAAGTAGACGTTGAGGAAGTGGGTGCTGTTCAGCTGCAGCGCCTCCTTCAGCTCCTTCACGCTCATGTAGGCCCTGCAGGAATGGAACGGGGGACAGTCAGACGGTATCTCAGGGCAGCAGGAAGGAGCGGGGTTGTGCTGGGCCGGTGCGGGATGGGATGGGGAACAGTCGGGTAACACCAATGCAGAAGCAGCCCCGGAGACGCCCTCCCACGAGACCCAGTGCATTCTGGGAAGGCCTGGCCGGTTTTAGGGAGACGTCCAAGCGGACGGCTCATTCTTTACCTCCGGGCTGAGTCTGTGTCAGAGTAGCTGAAGGGCTTGAGCACAGATCCAATCCAGCGAGCAGAGACA